TAACAGAGTGAGATTTAGTGTCTCCGTGCACGCTCATTTGGTTGCTCATAAAGAAAATAATATGTAATTTCACTGCTGCAAATGTATATTTGAAGTGTTTGCATTAGCCACAATAATGTTCCTTTCTTCGGCAAAATGAAAGCAGCTCGGCGGCTGCTCCCAGAGCTCAAAGGGATTTTTCATCCTCAACTTGGTGGGAGTGGGGGAGGAGGAGGAGATGGGGGGAGGAAGTAGGTCACAACAAACGCCGTCCTTGTTAACAGAACATGTAAATAAATACATATAACCACGCTAAACTAATCAGGAAAACAATTACACCCCGATCTAAAATGTTTCAGTGCGCCGCTGTGAGGGTGACAAGTAATTTCCCACTCTTTAATTTTATGTCCCATGGCATCCAGATGAGAAGATTAATGATGCCTTTCAATGGGATTTACACATGCTACCCATCACAAACATGGCCGCAGCCTGACACCGTTGACAGCCACACTTTATTAAAGGAACCAGTTATTAATTCTATTCCTATTATTACAACCGATAATCGCTCAGTTCCTCCCAGAGGAGAATGAATGTTGTGGACTGGAGACATTAGAGAAAACACAGGCTTGTTGTGCCTTTCACTTGGAGAAGACATTCATTGTCATGTTTTCAAGTGCAAATGAAGATTTGTAGTCACTTTGTACCGTGGGCTGCGTAATGTGTGTTCCATGTCACACTGGACCGCCATCAAACGCTACATCAAATATAATTGGTGTGTTCCATGTCACACTGGACCGCCAGCAAACAGCTTACAAATTCAGCGCATTATATTTTCACTGCCATCAAAAGTAAAGCTCAAAGTGGTCTTCAGAAGACGGAATCACAGTGTGCTAAATCAACGTTAACACTGTGATGAGGTCATGGATTTCTGGGTATATGAAGTTGTCGGGCGCTGAGAACGAAGCACACTGTGGTGATAAAGAGAACAGGAATGATGACCAGGCATTCTGACTGGATAATGCAGTTAATGCTGAGACCCCGAGAAAAAAAGGAAGAAGAAAATGCAGAGCTACCTCCTGGCCCTCCTCTGTGCAGGGCATCTGCATTGCAGTACATTACAGTTTGGGTAACTGCAGTTGTCACTGTGATACATCAACAAGGAAACAGTGACAAACAGACTCAGACGGACCGGAGTTATTCTGAACCCAAGTACAACAGTTTGGTTTCACTCTTCAGAGGTCAAAAATAACCAAACTAAAAAACAACAAAGCAACCAAATTTGACCGTTTTACTCAAACAGTTTGCTGACATTTAAGAATCTGAACAACATTTTCAATATAATTAAGAAAAAAAATTAATTAGACTAGACAAAGTGTGTTTTTGTTTACAGTCAAATTCATAATAATCACATTTAATGGTCTGTTTGTTATTCCGCCTGCATTCCAGCATAATAAAATCAATTTCACATCAAACAGTAACAGCAGAAGATGCAATTTACACATTAATCAGCCGCAAATTATGATCCATTTACAATAATTACAAAACATAAATGTGACAGATACTATAATAACATTCATTTATTTTCTGTTTACTGCTCACAGTAACAAACGTTAACAAATACTTGGCAAATGAAAACTACATCTTTAAGTCCTTGTAGCAGGTCAGATACATGTCTCATCATTAGTCATATGTTTGATTTTTGATGACATGTCTCATATTTGTCATGTTTGATTTTCCAACACAGCCTCAGAGCAGAGTTCAGTGGCATCTGGCCGAACAGCTGCACACAGATAATTGCTCCTTCGATTAATTAGCAGCGAAGACAGACCTCGACACAACGTGTGCACTTTCAGATAGCAGAGATGAAGGTGGGCAGGGTTTTATTGTAGTCACATTACTGGGTCTGGTAATGGCTCAAAACTACAAGTTTTGGAAAAAAGTGTTGCTCAAGGATGTGCTTGATCTTCATCAACAACGAATTAAAGTCGCCCTACGTCAGGGGTTAAAGTCTGTTTTTTTTTTTAAGTGTTTCTTCAACTTAACATCCACATATTCATAGCCTGAGGTTTTTCCCCTCAGGTTTGTTACTGCAAAAATATTCACGATATTTAAATCATTTTAAAACAAATGTGCTCCAAGGCAACACACCAAGAGTGCTTGAAGGTTCAGAAACTTCCGGAAAAGGTTGTATAGGAAGTGAATATTTATAAAGTGTGAAGTAAATAGTAAATATTTGTAGTAAAAATAGACTACCACTCATGACATTCTTGGTACTTGTTTTTTTTTTTTTTTTTTTACCACTAATAGAAGTTACCCACTAATAGAAGAAACCCACTGAGATATAAAATCTTATGGTGTTGCTGTTATGGACAGGAGAGTTGATTCAGACAATCAAGGAGGGGTCTTAAGGAATTTCAGTAAAAGTATTTGCATATATAAAAGTGATTACATTTAGTACTGTCTATCAGTCATTTGAATAGAGCATCTTAAACTGTATTTACAGTGGGAGAAACTTCACTTCTTCGGGTGAAATGTTAAAGTAGTCAATACATCCTCTAGGTGGCAGTAAAACAACTCAAAATACAGAAGACAGTAAGAAGTGAAAGTTGGAGGGAGGGGTTGGAGCAGCTCAGAAGACGGTCACTGATGTCACTGATGTCAACTGTATAATATATTGATTTTATTCATATAGACTCACAAAGCAGATCAGTATTTGCTTCATGACTTGTTATAATTTGAATGTGTCAGAACAAAATTATTCTTATTTATCGTTAGGGTTTTTAAAGTGGTTTCCAGATGCTGTAAGAACAGAAAAAGACAGAGTCAGTTTTATGTTTTCATTCATAAAAGGGTACAATAAATAACACACATACACATGTACTGTATATTTGCAGTATAACAGACAGAACTCATCTCCAGTCTTTGGGCAGGTCAGTGTCAGGTCCATAAACTGCACAACACCAAACAACAGTGATACATGAGCAGCAGAAGGAGACGGAGAGCAGAATAATAAGAAGTGCTAGAATGGAAACTGGAGAAAGAATCTTAATGTTGAAGTTGAAGTGAAAAGAGTAAACAATTGTATTGACATACATTTATTAACCTATCTAAATGTATTATTCTGTGCCTACAGATACAGTATTCCCCCATTGTATTCACAGGCCTTTTTAAAGAACAGGTTCTTCTTAAGTGCACTTTCTAACTGTATATTTGTCTCTCTTGACTCACTCCACACATGTCAATAATCAGGGAATGTAACACAGCTCCCTCTTTCTATTCTATTCCGAAACATTTTCTCATCTGAACTCCGTGTTTTGTTATGATCCTTATTGTGATTATTTTTTCCTTTTTCACTCTCTCTTTTGCTTCCACACTGATAAATAACCTGAGCTGGTAGTTCAATTCTCTCTCGTTCGGTGGTCTCCTGCACAGACCTGGATAAAAGGTTTGCAGTACATGAGCTGTGTGGGTGTTTTATTCACTTTTATACTTTCTGAAACACCACTCCAGTCGAGGCAACGCTCTGTCGAACAAAGGCCGTCTTTGTTCACTGCGGCAGATCTAAATGTAGTTGTTGATTTAAATTCTCCCAAACAAAAAAAATGTGAGGTCACCTGACTGTGACTCAGCTCAAAGTCCTTTTGGTTTGGACTGCTTTGTTAGACACAGTATTTTCTTTTTTTGATTGATTTGTTTACCTGTCTGTGAGGCTGCCTCACTGAGGACCAGATCAGACGGTGATGTTTATATTAGTCACACTCATCTGTGGAAAAGTCCCTGCAACTCCACAGGCAAACATTTTCACAATCTTGAAATAAAATAAATGTTATTCATTTTGACTGTTTGCTGCTCCATTAGTGACCGTTCTCTCAACAAATGAGCACTTTCCCGCTGTAAATGTTTTATACTTTACTGACCAGAACATGTTAATAAATACCTCAAGTTATTGATTTAATATTCCACATCAGATGTTGTTTTGTTTGGTTGTTTTTTGTTTAAAAGCCGAGATCAGAGCTGAATAGAAAATCATGTTTTATTTCCGTTTGCTGCTCCTGCTGTCCTGCACAGCCACATCCCAAAGGGCAGCTGTAAATATTCCACAGTGTTGCTGGTTTTAACAGCAGCAACATTTGTTGAACAAAAACCTTCAGAGAGGAAAATGTAATTTGGATTGAACTGTATGTTTGAGCAGGTGCAGCGCCATCAAGTGGCTCTGAGCAATTAACAACACAAAAAAGTCTAAAAAAATCCTTTATGAAATGTTTCTTGTCGACTTGATTGTTGTCAACTGTTAATGTGTTAGAATTTGTAAACTGCATATTTAATTTGTTTCTAAAATGAAGTACTACTAGTAAATAAGTACTACTACTGTATAACCAAACACATGGACGATGGTTGTTGTACTGTATATATTATAATATACTCTAAAACTATACTACTCTATACTGTACTGTACCGTACTATACTATATTACACTATACTGTACCGTACTATACTTTACATTACTCTACTATACTGTACCGTACTATACTATATTACACTGTACTGTACTATACTGTACGGTACTATACTGTACTGTACCGTACTATACTATACAATACTTTATTACAATACATTATACTTCACTATTTATGGTCCAGTGAAGGAACAAATGTGTTTAAATAACACAGAACACCACACGGTGCTGTCTCCTCAGCTCTGATGGATTTGGTTCTTATGTGGGACAGAGCTACAGGTACCATTAATCCTGGTGAGCAGTTTTAAGGCTAATGTGACTCAGAGGATATATTCAGATTAATATCTCTGAAAATGTGCATTTATTTGTTTACCTTGGTAAAATATACTCAGGTTGAATATTTCTCCGTCACAGACTTTGGTTTTTATTTATT